CACTTTAAAGAAAATTGTGGCTATTTGTACACGCCTGAATTTTTCCGCGTTCTTATCATCTTCGTGCACTTTCTCAAATTTGCTTGCAGCTTGTGTGGTAGCCGGGAGTGGCAAGGCGTAAATAGCGCACTTGACGAAAGGCGGCGGCGCAGTTCACCGAGTATGCGGAAACTGCAGTGTTGATTTTGGTCCGTGGGGGCTGCGGTCGTCCGGCGTTGGAGTGGTCGGATGTGGGCGGGAGCTTGGTCCAGAGTCCCGAGTCACTGCTGTGTTAGCGTGTAAGAGGGGCTATACAGGGCTCAGTCATCCTCTTTGCCGTGGTCGCGCGGTCCCGGAGGCCCAGTGGTACGTTTTGAACGCTGGAGCAAACGAGCTGTCCAAGCTTTAACGATGCCCACATTAGAAATGTCATGTAGTTCATTTTGTTGTTCACATTTAGTGTTAAGGTGTGACTGTGAGATTCCTTGGTGAAAGGGTGCTCTGTTCATTTCGAAAATAATGTGAAAAGCTCAGCCTGTACATTGCAAGTTATATACCTTAAGAGCAGAAGACTGACACTGGAAATGTGATAAAAACCACATATTTGTTTAGTTAAGAAGGACTGCAGTATGGTTGCATTCCCTCTTGAGGTCATATGAAGTGGAATATGATCAAAGACCTTGTGGTTGTGCAATGGCAAGGGTCTGGGGCTTAGAACCAGGCGGATTTCTTTTTCATATGAAAACAAAAATGCCAGGCAAAACAGTGTCAATTTCCTAGATACATTGTCACATTGCCCAGACATGTAGCAAGTTTTGTCAACAGACTCTTGATGAGGTAATTAGAGCTGCTATTAAGGTAAAAAAAAAATAATGTGGCTTGTAAAATGATTGTGTATGAATTTATTCACTACTTACCAACTGTATTATATTAGAAAAAGGTTTTGATGTAAGATTTTAAGCATTTAAGCAAGCATGAGGTTTAAGCACAAGGTTTTACAATTTTCATGCATTATATCATTATTATACCATGTTTTCAGCTAAACAGCTATGACAGCATTTGGCAAATTTACAATGTATGAATGTTCCTTATTTACTCCTGTAAAGCTTTCAGAATGTCAGACCATGTTTCAAGTTCTTCAGTTTTTTGTTAAGGTACCATTAAAGGTGTGCATGGTGATCAGGGAGATGGTGCCTATCTACATGTCTATATTTACCCAATGATAAAGCTATATATGCTAGTCTGACTTTCCTTTAAGTGGCATCATGCATAATTAGTTCTGTCATTATGTGCATGAAATGTGCACTTCACCAGTTTAGCCTATTGCCACATGGCTGCTTATTTATGCTAGCTCACCTATAGAGATGAACACAGCACTAGAATCAATATGGTTTGTCAAACTCAGTAGCGCATATTTATATTCTTGATCTAGATTCCAGGATCAATCAGATAAGGTGGCGAAAAAAAGTGATGATGGGCATAGATTATGGATCATGGCCTATTGGTGGCCAAAGTTAGGAGAGCAGCATGAGGGCTGCAGCATTGCTCTGTTATGAAATGAAGTGTGTCCTTTGTCATGCTATAATACTAGTTCATTAGTACATGATCCATAGTCTGGTCACAGCCAGAGCTTTGTCACAACCAAAGTGGACATGGTGGCTCAGTGGTCCCATGGATGTACTGCTTCTGTTAACTGTTAAGCATATTACAGGCATCATATGATGTTCTCATCACATATGATTGCTGGCTTTTAATAGGCACACTGGCTGTTTTATCATGATGCTTGTTTTACTCAAGTAGCATGCAAGCCAGCAGTTTCACATGATCTACCTGGTCTTATTTCCAGCTGATTTCCTTGCCTCATTATCCATTGCTGATCTCCCAATTTCATTCTGGACCCCATAATTCCACTCTGCATTCCTGATCACACCAGGCATCCAGAGTCCACCATGCATCTCAAACCCCACCTTGCAGCAGTGTTGCTGGACCACTGGGCCACCCTGGACCACTGGTCTGCAGCCCACCATTCTCTGCTTGCTCTACCATGCAGCCTTGAATTCACCCAGCATCCCAGACTCAATTCAGCATAGCTTGCTCACCCTTGACTCAACCCAACACCCATGACGACCATTTACCTCTGGCTCCATCCAGCACCCATAATTGTCATACACCTTTGACTCCTGCTGGCACCCAGAGCCCCACTCAGCATCCATCCTCCACTCTCTGCTCATGATCCTACTATGCACTAGGGGTGCTACCCTGAGACTGCAGGCTCCACCAAGCATCCCTGACACGGCATGCTTCTCCCTAGCACCTGGCCACGATGGATCCGACGACGATGGTGAAGAAGCTGCTGCTGTCCTCGGAGCGGATCGTCTGCTGTCTGGAGGCGCAGCTGGCCGGCTCGGGCGGCCGCCGCATCCTGGCGCTGGTGGAGCACGGCGCCGAGCGCGCCCTGCTCGTGCTGGTGCACTCGGTGGCCGGCGGCAGCGAGGTCGACATCGAGAGTGTGCTGCCCGTCGCGTCCGACTTCGTCTGCGAGATCGGTAGGCGCGCGCCCGCGGCGGGGTGAGCTGGACTCCCGCTTGAGATGTCGGCATCGCTGGAGGAGGTGGTAGAATACCTTGCTTTAGTGTCTGTCATAGACTATTTGTAGGCATATGTCAGGCATGGTCGGTGGGGACAAAACTGCAGCTTTTGCTCTAATGATTTCCTTTTCCTGTTTCGGCGTCGTGCCATTCTTAACGGCTTACTTCGCCTTTTTGACATTTTTACAGCTGGCTTCGGCATCAGCTACGGTTTTGCACAATTTTTGAATTATGGCTTCGGCTTTAGCCGCAAGCAATCTTAAGCTGACGTATTTGGCCTTGTCTTGGTGATTTTCACTCCGCAGTTGCGATTTTGCTTGGCCAAGGCAGGTCCCGTCCGGCCACCCCCACGTACCTCGCAACTTTTCGAGACTGCCACTCGTATATGGCTGACAGCCAAAAGCCAGCTGGCCATTCTAAGGACCAATCAGCTCCTGTCGTCAGCCAGAGAACTAACTGCCGGAAACGTTTCATGCATACTAACACACACAACGAGGAGGGTAGTGTAAAAACTCATCTGCGGTCTTAACTCTACGTAATCACTCCGCAAAACTCGGCAATGTTTTCTAAACCCATGCCGTTTAAGCGCGTGCGAAAATGGGTTTTGCTTCGCAATGTAACGTTCTACACTAGATTTGGTTTTGGCTTCGTAGTCGTGACTTTGAACGTATGGGCTCAGCTTTGGCTCTGCGTTTACTAAGTTCAAAGCCGCTGACCTCGGTTCAAGCTGCGTTTGCAAAGTTCAAAGCAGCTGGCTTCTGATTCAGCTTTGCGCTTTGAAAATACTAAGGTGGCGTTAGCTTCCCCTTTACAATTCCAAACTTCAAAGCCACCGGTCCCGGCTTCTGCTTCGTCTTCACTTCATTGGCTTCGGCTCCGGCTTCGGTTTCTAAGCTAAAAGCTTCGTCTCCGTCCTTGGCATGTGTACGTAACTGTTACCAACACCTTTGGGCGCAGGCATGCCTGTCCAGTTAAAAGGAGGCCTGTGCGTTTAAATGTAGCCATAAAGCAAAATACATGTACGTTTTCGTGACCTGACATACCAGTTGAAGCAAGAAGGATGAAATATTCGACGATGAGATAGGATCTGGGTCCGCTTTTGGGCATCTCATACGGCATTTAACTGGTCATTTAATGTTTCTGTTGTGAAAAGGCGGCCTATCTCAACGACAACCGTCCCCCCTCCCCTCTCCGCAAAGCCGATCAATGCTCTGGACTCCTGCGGGTCCAGAGCATTGATCAGCAACGCGGTTATTTCGGCTCTTCGTGATGCGTTCGCAAGGATACTTTTCCTTAACGTGATGAAGCCAGGCGTCTTCGGCGATATTCGAAAATTGTTTGTGTTTGTGTCAGCGTGAGAAGGCAAACTGACAGGAGATAAAAATGTATTACAGAGGAGAGAAGTGCACACTGCTTGGCGCACCTTGCTGCACGTTGGTAGACCGCCACGCGGGTTCATAGATGCGTTGATCCATTTCTCTTACTATCATTAAACGTGCATGCTTTTAGGCAATCATAAGGATAGGCGCTACACAGGCCTGTTGTCGGGGCCCGTTAGTCTGTTGTCGAGGTCTGTAGGCCCGTTGTCGGGGCCTGCTAGCCTGTTGTCGGGGTCTGTTGGCCTGTTATCGGGCCTGTTAGCCTGTTGTCGGGGCTTGTTGGTCTGTTGTTGGGCTTGTTGACGTGTTGTCGGGGCCTGTTAGTCTGCTGTCGAGGTCTGTTGGCCTGTTGTTGGGGTCTGTTGGCCTGTTGTCGGGCCTGTTAGCCTGTTGTCGGTGCCTGTTAGCCTGTTGTCGAGGTCTGTTGGCCTGTTGACGGGACTATTCGGCCTGTTTTCGAGGCCTGCTGGCCTGTTGTGGGGCCTGTTGACGTGTTGTCGGGGTCTGCTGGCCTGTTATCAGGGTCCTTCCCCGCCTGCGTCGCTGACTTCACGAGCGCTCGCTGCCTTCAGCTGTTAGCCAGGCGGGCTCGGGTTCCCACGCATGCCGTGCCCACATCTGTCATAGTGGACACAGCTCGCTGGCGCACGAACCCCGTGTGTTATATTTGACGCCGCCAAGAGGGCGCGCCAGCCTGTGCAGACGCTGTCTCTGGACCGTTCAGCTGCCGAGCTGGTGAGAGCAGCTAGTCTGCCCCTAGGTCTGCCGTTGAAAGCGCGCCTCGTGCACGCGCGCCAGGCGCGATAATTAGCGTTACGGGCTGACCGGTGCGTGCAGCTGGCTTCGCTGTGTCGGGACTGTCGTGCGGCGGCCGGCCCGGGGCGTGGCTGACGTCTCGGCGACGGTGTCGTTCCAGACACGAACGGCCTGGAGGAGTCGGACCCGCGCCTCTTCGTGCAGTTCCGCTCGGGCGCCGAGTGGCTGCGCGTCGCCTTCCCGCAGGGCTCCGTCACCAACTCGTTCGTCGAGCAGATCATGATGACCATGGAAGGTGCGTGAAGGAGGGAGCCACGCACCTAGTGGGGGGCGGCCAGCGCGTGAGCGTAGCGAGCTCTCGTGCCGGTGATGGCTTGGAAGGTGTGTTTATCGGATTGGTGATCACTCTGGAGGGTGGGGCTGATGGTCACTGTGGAGGGTAGGAGTGGTTCACTGGAGGGTGGGACTGGTGATCACTATGGAGGTTGGGGTCTGGTGATCACTATGGAAGATGTGACTGGGGAGTACTGGGAAGGGTCGGACTGGCGACCACGGAAGGTTAGGGCATGGTTGCTAGTGGGGGCGGGGGCGGGTCTGGTGACCACCGCAATGTGGAATAAGTGATTTAAAGAAGAACGCATCCCACCGAGTTGTGGATCCGCGGCGGCGGGAAGCCTGTCGGCCCGCGGGAGTTGGTGTCACACGTATGTCCGGCGCGGTCGTCCTGGCCGGCGGGCACGCTCGAGGCTGGTGGCGTGCCGCGCGTGCCTGGGCGGGGCCGCGTGTGCCGGCGGCGGGAGCGGCTGCCCAGCGGGCACTGCGGCCCAGCTCCCCGCGATCGATGGTGGCCTCGCTCCCAGCCGGGGCGACGGTCGGATCAGGCGGGATATCACACCCAGGTGGCGCCGGGCCGAGATTCCCGCGACAGACACCGACCGTTGGCATTTCGGAAATGATTATGCGGTGTGGATGGTACCTGTGCATTGTGTTTCTGTCGTCACGCTCACAGCAGTTGCGTTTGAACTGAATTATGTTTCGCATACATAAACATATCCCGGTGGTTTGTTTGCATTCGTAATTTGGCTGAAACGTTGACGTTTTTGATTATTTTTCCATGCGTCCGCTCGTCGAGCTGTATATCATCAATGCACACAGAACCGTCCGGGGAATCCCTTGGCCATTTCGCTCAGTGCACGAGGCAGCCGGGAGTTGGCCGGTGGTCCAAAGAGGCGGTCACCAAGTGCGTCCGTCTGACGCGCCTCCTCCGCCCGTCAGCGCCGGCCGCCGCCGAGCCGGCCGGCCCGGCCAGCTTCACCTGGGTGCGGCAGTACCGGGAGCGGGTGTCGCGCGCGCCGGCTGACACCGCCGTCCGGTCGGTCAGTCTGCCCGGCATCCAGCCGGTCACGGTGAGTGGCACGCCGCCGGGTCGCGCGCGCCGGCAGACACCGCCGCCTGGTCGGCCGGTCTGCCCGGCATCCAGCCGGTCGCGGTGAGTGGCACGCCGCCGGGTCGCGCGCGCCGGCTGACACCGCCGCCCGGTCGGCCGGTCTGCCCGGCATCCAGCCGGTCGCGGTGAGTGGCACGCCGCCGGGTCGCGCGCGCCGGCAGACACCGCCGCCCGGTCGGCCGGTCTGCCCGGCGTCCAGCCGGTCGCGGTAAGTGAGACGCCGCCGGCTCCCGCCTGTGGTGCGGCCGGCCGACTAGCGGCCGACTGTGGCGCCGCACCCCGCCGACTGCTCGCACCGCACCACCACTGACGACGTGCTGTATCGTTCGGGCGCAGAGTAACAGCAGATGACGTGCTTTGCGACAGTGGTGCCCACAGCACGGTGCTGCGCGTACGCAGTGCTGAGTCTGGACTGATGGTGGGTCCAGCGATGACATCCGCTGGTGGTTGCCCTCCGGTCGACTCCGGTGCTGGTCGAGCTCCTGTGGGAGCCGGGCGCGCGCCGTGTGCTGACAGCGGCCGGGACGTTGCGCTCCAGCTGGCTGACACGGACGCGGTGCAGCGCCGGACCGTGCCGGCCGCCGGCGCCCAGTTCACCGCCCGGGAGACGGTCGTCAAGTGTGAGATGATGCGCAAGGAGGACGCCTACACGGACGTGCACGACCTCAGGTCAGCCGACTGGCGCGTGCCGGGTGTGGGTGGGAAGTGCGCGTTACAGCGGACGTCCGGGCTCTGACAATCCGCGGTCGTGCGGACGGAGGCAGGTGAAGTGTGGCGATATACGTGTGAGCCGAGCGGATGAACTGCAGTGACGCGTGCATGAGCTGACGTAAAACTCGATGTGACCACTTCATCCGCTTTGTGATGCTGTGCTTCCCTTGAGGTGATCCGGGAGTCCGTGTGCACTGCCTCAGCTCTGACGTCACTGTCCGTGTGAGCGCGCGGCCGCGCGGGGCGGGTGACGTCACGCCGTCACTGCGCGTGCTCGCGTCGCGGGCATGTCGGTGCTGACTCCACCCGCGGCCGCAGGGTGCTCTGTGCCACGTGGAACGTGAACGGCCAGTCGCCGACGCCGACGGAGCCGGTGGCCGACTGGCTGGCGTGTACCGACGAGCCGCCCGACATCTACGCCATCGGCTTCCAGGAGCTCGACCTCAGCAAGGAGGCCTTCCTCTTCACCGAGTCGCCCAAGGAGGAGGAGTGGCTGTGAGTGGGGTGCGCGCCGGTTGACCGGGCGGGACGAGGAAGGGGACGGCGCTCGCTGACTGCCAGCCGCGGTTGTGTGAGTGGCGAATGGTATCGTATTTGTCTGACACTCTTCCACGCGCCGCGTGATTTGTGAATTGTTATGCACGTGTCAGATCATAGCGGGCGGTATTGGGCCGAGGACAGCCGGGCCGTGAACGCATGCAGTTGATGAGTTGATACGTGGTAGATGAAGCCATCGAACTCGGTCCGAACAGCTTTTGGAAAAGCCCTGCGCTGGGTGAGCGATCGTTCGACCTCAGCCGCCTTAGTCGCTCTCTGTTTTTTCTGGGCGTGTGGACTGAACGGCTCGGTCTTTCCAGTATGTTACGTGATCACTATTTCGAACACCAGAAACCGCCCATCTAACCGGTACTGATGTCTGTCCGGCAGGACGGCGGTGCTGAACAACCTGCACCCGCGCGCCTCGTACCAGCGCGTGCGCCTGGTGCGCCTGGTGGGCATGATGCTGATCGTGCTGGTGCAGGACCGGCACCGCGCCTACGTGCGCAACGACGCCGCCGAGTGCGTCGGCACCGGCATCATGGGCAAGATGGTCAGTGGGCGGCGACCGGCCGCCGTCTGCCGAGCCGGGCGCGCGTCTCGCTCCGGGGACGGCGGCGCCGCGGTTCGGAGTGTGCGCACTGGGCGGCAGCGATTAGCTCCGCGCGCGCGGCGGGGCGGCGCTCGAAGCTGCTCGGTGCGGCAGGCTGCGAGCGGTCGTCACAGTCGGTATCGTCTATGCTGGGGCGTGTCCTGGCGGCACCGGCCAGAGCTGACCGGGCTGACGGCGGCTCTGCGGCTGGCTTTCTGCCACCGTTGCCGTATAGTCCCCGACACGGCTCCCCTTCCTGACGACTGCTGCCCCGTCGCCAGATGGCTGCTGAGTCGGCTCCTGCCTTTTGCCCTTCGCCGCCCTTCGCTGCCTTTATCTGCTCTTCTCTGCTCTTTGCTGCCCTTCTCTGCCAGCTTCGCTGCCCTTCTCTGCTTTTCGCCGCCCTTCGCTGCCCATCCCTGCCCGTCGCTGCCTTTCTCTGCTTTTCCCTGGCCTCTCCCTGACCTTCCCTGGCTGCTCCCTGACCTGCCTTGGCCGCTCCCCGACCCTGGTCGCTTCCTGACCTTCCCCGGCCGCCCCCTGGCCTTCCCCGGCCGCTCCCTGATCTTCCCCGGCCGCTTTCTGGCCTCCCTGCCGCTTCCTGGTTTCCCCTGGCCGCTTCCTGGCCTCCCCTAGTGGCTTCTTGACCTTCCCCGGCCGCTCCCTGATCGCCGCTGACCGCTCCCTGATATCCACTAGTCGCTCCTTGACCTTCACTGGCCGCTCCCTGACGTCCTGGCTGCTCCCTGACCTTCGCTTGTCCCGGCACCTCTGTTATATCCATCGAGGGCTCGCTGACCGCTGGACACAGCGTGACTGCTCCTGACCTGACCTGACCTGACCTCCCCTGACCCCCACCTCTCCTGTCCGCCCTGGCGGCCGCTCGTTTTTGTCGTGGTCGCCACTGCCGCTGAGCGGTCAGAAGAGCGTTGGCCGCATAGTCCTGACCTGAGGGCCTGCTCCGGCAGGGCAATAAAGGCGGCGTGGCCATCCGGCTGGAGGTGCACTCTACGTCCATGTGCTTCGTGAGCGCCCACCTGGCCGCGCACGTGGAGGAGTTCGAGCGGCGTAACCAGGACTACAGCGACATCTGCCACCGCATGCGCTTCAACGCGCTCGTCTCGCCCAAGGCCATCAAGGATCACGAGTGGGTGCTGATCGGGTGCCGGTCACACGGGCAGGTGACAGGGGCGGGGGAAGGGGGCTGCTGGTGCGCGGTGGATGCTGTTGTGGCGCGCCAGGACCCGGCAGACGCAAGTCGTGTCGTGCAAAACTTTATGCTGCCGCGCGCGTCGCGACAGGCCGCTGAACGGGCCCGGCCGTGCCGCACGCGGCGATGCGAGCAATTGGTTATTGCACATGAGGACCTTGCGGTGTTTTTTTTTCTTCAAGTTACTAAAGGCGATGCGATATCGAAATAGTACCCAGCTGAAGGGGCAGTCGGTTCTTTCGTTGGTCCAAACCCCTATTTTTGGCCTGGTGTTTCAGTCTCGCAGTCAGCTCAAACGTTGTTGAAGGTGGCCGTGCTGTAATGACTGTTGTTGGACGACTTTGTCGGGACCAACGTGTGTGAGGAATCGACCCCATTGACCATTGTGGTGTTCCATGCTCCTTATGCGAAAATTGTGCGCGAATTACCGCAAACCCGGCGGTCGATGTTGAAAATTGACTTCAACCCACGCGGTCGGCGTTTTTCAGTCAGGTGTTCTGGCTCGGGGACCTCAACTATAGAATCACCGACGTGGACGTGGACACGGTGAAGGACACGATAGACCGCGGAGCATTCGAAAAGGTGAGCCAACGCTCCATCAATCGTGGCGTGTTAGTCAGGTGCCGTGCCGAGCCTGGTTGCTGTTGCGCCATGTGGTGGTGGCGCTCGGCCGACGCTGCTGCTGCCCGCGTGGGCGGCTGTGATCGAGACATTCCCATGGTGCTGTTGCGCTCGCCGGCAGCCGCGGCTCAGCTGGTGCCCGTGTTGGTCGTGCTGGTGCACAGCTGTGGCGCCCTGCAGATGTATCTTGTTCCATCACCACCTGACGTTGGCACCGCAGCGTCGGGTACCGCGGTCTGGCTTCGGCATGCGGGCTAGCCGTTTGTGTGCAGCCTTGAGCAGGATGCTGCGGGTCATTCGGGGATGATTTTCAGTAAGTCGGTCGCATCGGCAGCCGGTCGTGACGCCTCGCGTGGGCGAATCTCTCCGTGGCGTTAAAGTCGCTCCGCCTTGCCATCGTGTATTTATGTGGGTTTTTCCATGATCAGCACACAAAGAATATGTACAGAAACTCCCAGAGCGGGTAACTCTGCAAAGGGCGGGCGGCGGGGCGGTGGCGCCGGCTGCGGCGGTGGCCGCGTGCTGCCGCCGCCGCCGGCCGCCTTGTCGCCCGGAGCGAGAGGGGGGTCCGTGGCGGGCAGCCGGGCGTCCGATGTGGTCGGCCGCGGGCGCTCCCGGCCGACCCGGCAGGCAGCCAGCGCCGCAGTCAGAGGCGGGCGGGGGCGGCCTCGGCCGTCAGGAGAGGCCGTCTGGCCGGCCACGCCTAGCACACACCCGGGCAGTTCGCCGTGATGAAGTCGACGAACGCTGCAATAGCCAGCGGCTGTGGTCAGGGCTGTTGCTACTGCTGCCGTTGTCGCACTGTCCGAGTCCGTTGTGGGCGCCTGCACTGCGATGGACTCTATGGACATGTCGGGTGATCAACCGCGGCGGCGGTGCAATCAGTAAACACCTCACGTGCTGCCGTGGTGGATGAGTACGGGGCAAGCCACAAGACGAGTTGTCAGTGCCACGTACAACATGTGATTATTTTCCCCCTCTGTAACGCTCCAATGCCCATCATCAGCGGCGGAGCGTGCTCGCTTTCACCCACCGCCGCCGTCTCGTACTCACCGGAGACGCGCGTGAAGATGCCGGGGTATTGGGACACGGCGCAGCCCCGCCCCCATGAGACCACGCCCACCTGTCTCCATGTACTGCCGTCCCAGTAGAACATGGGGCCGCCAGAGTCGCCCTGCCGGGGGATGGTGCCGTCAGCTGGAGGTGGGGTCACAGACGCCCAGTGGCGCGCTCGGGCTGCCAACGGCGAGCGCGCGCGGCTCGGGAGGCCTCCGCCGGACAGGCGTCTGATGTGGGGCGCGTCGAGTGGCGCGGCGCCGGCGGCAGCGCACGCCAGGCTCCGGCACAGTGCTCGCGCCAGCGACACAGCGGCGGTGCCGTGTGGGGAACCGTTGGCCCATCTCACCCGCCCACCCCGGGCCCGGCGTCGAGCTGAGATTCCCCGACCGGCCTCGGCTGCAGAGGGGATCACCTGGTGCCCCCAGCCGCGGTCTGACCAGTGGCACGCGTGACTGGGCTCCTCGCAAGCGATGGCCAACTCAGCATGTCTAGCGCTGCCCTGTCGTCAGTGGCGTGTTGTCAGTGACGTTGAGACGTGTGCGTGATGTGTGTCCTGTCCTCCCTCCCTCCCTCCCTCCCTCCCTGCGGCTGGTGGAGCCGTGGTCCCGTAATGTGTGCCCTCCCCTCCGTCCCTCCCTCCCTGCGGCCGGTGGAACCGTGGTCCCGTAATGTGTGCCCTCCCCTCCGTCCCTTCCTCCCTGCGGTTGGTGGAGCCGTGCTCCCGTAATGTGTGCCCTCCCCTCCGTCCCTCCCTCCCTGCGGCCGGTGGAGCCGTGGTTCCATAATGTGTGCCCTCCCTCCTTCCCTCCCTGCGGCCGGTGGAACCGTGGTCCCGTCATCGCTGAGCCATCAGCCACGGCCACTGGTCACCACTGACGTCCGCACCCCGCTGCTGCGAGGGAGCGGTCAGCCCACCTGACAGGCGTCCTGCACTTGGCCTGAGACGGTCCCGGTGGCGCAGATGACCCTGCTGTCCACGTCGGCGGAGGTGTACATGGTACCAGGAGGCGTGGTGCACTCTTGGTTCGACAGGGTGTGCTCGGTGGTCGACTTGTACAGCTGCGTGTTCATGACGGCGTCTGTGGATGGTGCGGCCGTCCATCAGTCGGCTGCCGCGGTGGACGCAGGGTGGAGCCCCCCGACTGACACCACGAGGCTGCTCAGTAGGCCCCCGGCCTCTGGGCGCGCGGACATGCAGCGGCTCTGGCTCCAGGCAGCTGCTGTAAGGGAATCGATACGGACCTAGTAAAGATGGTTCCCATGAATAGCCACAGCCGCAGTTACTGTTACCCGAACAGTTATTGTTTGGGCTTGGCATTGCTGTTCGAATGGGGTTCCACGACATGACTGGCCGCAGCTCGGCTGCGGTGGGCGGGCGGCAGCGCCAAGTTCGGCTCTGCCCCTGCGGCAGGGCGGACGCCGCTTACCGGTCGACTTCTTCTTGCCCCAGCCGGCGATGGTGACGTCGTGCCTGCCAGTGATTGTGTGTCTGTTGAGGCAGATGGCTGACGGCTGCAAGCCGCGCTTGGCCAGGGTGAGCGTTGTGGCCATCACCACCACGGCGATGTCGTTGGTCGGGTGCGGGTGCTGCCGGCGGAGGGGGAGAGCGGTCGGCGACGCGGCGGCACGCCGGCGGCAGTGAGGGAGGCGGCCGGCTGGGCACGTCCGACGCCCGACGCCGACGCCGGCGCCCACGACCGCGCGCGGAGCACCGACCGCCGGCGCGGCGCCCCGACGGCGCCGCCGATGCCGGCGGGAATGTGTCGCGGTATGCGCTCACACGCGCCGTGATGTGGTCGGAGTGGGGCGGAATGGGCCGACGCCAAGCCGCGACACTGTAACCGGGGGGCGGGGTATGACGTGCGAACCCGTGAATAGTTGGGATCGTGTGGTCGCTATGTTGGAGCCGGAGACTGCTGGGTGGCCTGTGACGGACGGTGTCTTACCTGGGAGTAATGAGGGTGCATAATGATTTGGGTAGCAGTGCTCGTGGCCGTCTCGTCCGGTAGCGTGGTGTCGAAGTCGTTGAAGTAAGCGTAGACCAGTGCCGGGTTCAGGCCTCCGTTGCTGCAGCCCAGCGGGGTGGGTGATCAGTTTTGGCCACGGGTGGTCGCCTTCGGTCAAGAACGGTCAGCAGGGGCTGCGGCTGCCGGTGCAGGGCGCACGTGGCAGCGACAGGGCAGCAGGAGTGGTGGGCAGTGGGCCACAGTGTCAGGAAAGGCCGGTGCTGGCTGCAGATGGTCGCCAATGGTCAGCCGTGGTTTGTGCGAGCAGTAGCGGCTGCGGGCTGCCGTTGGTGGTCGCAGAACAGTGGGCTGGTTGTGGAGCGGCCGCTGTGGGTTTTGGCCAACCGATACTGTTTACGAGAAGTAGTAACGACTGGCCGATAGCGGTGTACTTGTGTGGCTGGTAACAGCCACGGGCGGTCACGTGCGGTTAGGGAGTACGATCTGCCCATTGCACGATATCGACATGTTAACAATCGCAGGTGGTCCTTCTCCCCGTCCCGGGCGGCGAGTGAACGTTCCCAGACGAATGGGCCACATTTCTGGCTCTCACATCTGCTCTGAATTTAAATCACCACCGCTTTGTGAGCTCCGACTAACTCTCAGCTGCTAAAGCTGGAACTCTGGCGGACAGTGAGGACGGCGCGAGCGCCGGCCGCCCGGGGGGGGGGGGGGAGCACACCCTGAGCTCGGCACCGCCCGCCCGGCGCGCCGCACTCACGCCCTCTGGTGGTCGAAGCAGTGGGCGGCGGTCAGGATCCTGTTAGGAGCGATGATGGACGCCCCGCACGGCTCGTGGTACCAGCTGTCCGGCTTCTTGTAGTATGCGGCTATCTGGGGACCGTGACACGATGGCACCGAGTCAGCGCACGGTCGGGTCGCACGCCGTCGAGCAGCCCTATGCCGGTGGTCAGCGGCCGGGCGGCGAGCGGAGCTACATGGTGGCGGTGCTGTAAGCGAGCTGCGCACTGACAGCTGGTGCAAAGGCAACTCTGTGCCCGGTGAGCTGGGTTACACTTCGGGAGCTAGTGGCCAGGCAAACTGCAACTCAGTGTGCGTTTAAGGCAACGCACGGGATTATTCTGGGCGTTCTCGACTTGCAAGAAGTCGTGCTGAGATAGAAGAGCATTTATGACACGGCATCCCGTGGCGGAAAGTCAGGACTCTATCCCCAGGAACGTTGCTGCATGTTGCAGTTCGCACGTAAAACGTCCAATCGTTCTGGGTCGGGTGTTCTGGCCACAGGACCCTGCAAATGGGCGCGTTGCGCGCGGCCTCGGCACCTGGTCCGACGTCTCGCGCGGGGCGGTCGGGGCCACCGCGTGCACGGTGCGGCGGCGCGCTCACTCACCCGGACCATGAAGGGGAACTCGCCGTGCTTCGCGGGCACCCAGTTGACGCCGCGGTCCAGGACGTCGCCTGCAACAGCGGCGGGGAGGGTCAACGACCGGCCGCCGTCGGCTGGCGCACTGCAAGTCGGGCTCGGCCCGGTGCAGCACCGCGGCGTGCGCGGCTGGCTGGCGTGCGGACGAGCCTGCCCGGCCGCTCGGTATCGGCGGCCGGCGCGATGGCGAAGCGGCCTTACCTCTGAGCTGGCGGCCGGGGGGACCGCCTGGGAACTCTTGATCAGGGCGACCTGAGTCGGCGCGGTCTTGGGGCGGCGCCGCGCGCTGCTCATCCTTCTGGCGGATTTTAGGAGGTGCGCGCTCATCCACTGTTTGGCGTTGCGTAAGAATGTCTCGCTCGTCCACGACGCTGCGTTGCGTAAGGATGTCTCGCTCGTCCACGACGCTGCGTTGCTTAGGGGGCGCACGCTGGTCCACGACGTTGCGTTGCTTAGGGGGTGCACGCTGGTCCACGACGTTGCGTTGCTTAGGGGGCGCACGCTGGTCCACGACGTTGCGTTGCTTAGGGGGCGCACGCTGGTCCACGACGTTGCGTTGCTTAGGGGGCGCACGCTCGTCCACGACGTTGCGTTGCTTAGGGGGCGCACGCTCGTCCACGACGTTGCGTTGCTTAGGGGGTGCGCGCTGGTCCACGACGTTGCGTGGCTCAGGGGGCGCACGCTCGTGTTCGTTGTCGCGCTCAGTCGGAGGTCGGGCGACTCTCTGCCAGTCTTCGGACGCCCGGTCGCGGATGGGAGGCACTCCCGCAGGCGACTTGTTCATCGGCTGAAAAGGAGATGGAAAGTGAACAGCGACCGTGCGGGAGCTGTCGCAGGCATCTCCCAGTCCCGGCACTGCATGGCCCCAGCCACTGCCAGCGACGCCGAAAAAGCGTGCAGGACGCGAGCAGGACGCGAGCAGGACGCGAGCGGCCGGTGCCAGCGGCAGCTCGCCGGGCGCGACGGAGACCTCGCTGCGTCTCTGTCAGCGTGGCTGCGCGCCTCGCCGGCGGCGTGGTCAGCGCGGCGCCCCTTGGCTCCCGATACTGCCGTGTTCCCGGCGCGGAGCGGTGCCGGCACCACCGAACGGCGAGGACGACGGGCAGACTTACCCCGGCCAAGACGACGGCCAGCACCGCCGCGAGCGCCACGCAAAGCTTCATGTCGGTGCTCGGTGTCGGGCTGGAGAAGCGCCGCCGCCGCTGTGCCGAAGCCGCGCCGGGCCGCGCTTATAAGGCGGTGGCCGGCCGCGCCCGGGCACGCCACGTTCATCAGACGTCGGCGTGGGACGCGTGGCGGCGCGGCCTGCGGTCGACGCGGCCGGCAGGCTGTGCGGGCGGCGCCGCTGCGGGACAGCCTGCAGCCGCCGCGGCGCCCTGCCGCGCGCCAGCTGCGCCGCCACCGCCGCCTGTCACGCTGGCGTGCTCGGTGGCACGGCAGCGGCCGCAGCGCGGCTGGCAGCGCTCGACAGACCGCACGGGAGGGCGCCGCACCGACGGCCAGGTGCGGCGCTTCGACCGTCTGGGGTCGGCCGCCGCCGCGTGGGTGGGGTGTCTGGAGCTGAGCATGGCGCCAGCCCCGGTCTCAGATGGACTTCGGCCAATGATTGGATGGGTGCTGTCCTCATGGTATAATAGTCCAGCGCCTGTATACCCCTCGGCATTGGTCAATGCTTCAAGCAGCTGCTTCGCCTGAAGGGGCTGCCACCGTAGTCTGTAGGCATCAGTTTGATGCATTTCCCCATTCGTGAGGAATTATCTCGTCTGTTTCTCCGTTCATTGGCTGGACAGTGGGGGCGTGCGGTGGACGCACCGGGACTGATGGATGCTGACTGTTGCAGGTGATGGAGTTTGACCAGCTGCGGCTGCAGCTGGCCGCCGGCAGGGTGTTCCAGGGATACCAGGAGGGGCCCGTGACGTTCCGGCCCACCTACAAGTACGACCCTGGTACCGATAACTGGGACTCCAGGTGAGGCAGCTCCGGCGACGCTCGGGCGGGTGCGCGTCGCCCAGTTGCGGCGGAGACGCGTTGGTGTTTTGTATCATGTCAGTCGGGGTTCAAGTTGTGTCTGTCGCCGATGGTTGTCTACCGTGCGGACGTTGAGAGTGTGTGGTGACATCTTCCGGCTGGGCGTTTGGCATGCTTTCTGCAGGAGACGTAGTCGTGCCGGAATGAAGCGCACGCCAGCGATGGACGGCTTAGTTGTGCCGTGCCTGTGTACTTCTGTACTGTTTTGTTTGGCCGCGGACATGGTACAGCAGTGAGGTGTTGTCTGAAAGGGCAAGGTTGTTGAAAAAACTCGTCTCACGCCTTCAGACGAGCGCGTGCGAAACTTGAGGTCCACCTGGCAAGGCTCAGGTATGGCCGCCTGTCCTCTAAACGAAGCGCTCTTGTGTGCGCCAGCTGCTACAGTTTCCCGCGTTGTTGTGCCTTCGCAGTCGTTGCCTAACACCAGGTGAAACGGGCCGCGCGAGCGAGGCAGTAGTAAAGGCAGGGCGACTCTGGCCCGATAAAGGCTTCTGTGACCGCGGGCTGCATCCCAGCCTCATCGCGAAATATAATTATAGATGGACTAGTCTTTTGTTAACCTCAGCATCAGAGTTCGGCTGCTATTCCATTTCGAAATTTCTGTAAAGTAGTGAGCTTCTGGAGAGGAATATTGTACCTCCAACAGCGTGGCTAGACCCTCTACCTCCAGCAGCGTAGACCCAGTCCCCAGTTCCAGTTGATACTAAAGCGATGTAACGAGGCACACTCGTAGGCGAGCGGGTATCATTCAAGGAATGTGTACGCTCACATCGTAATGCAATAGCCATGCATAATATTAAGCAATTACTAATGTCACACCGTCGTCGGGCTCTCTAGATTTTAGCATTGAAGACGACTATTTGCGGCGGGCAGCAGATGTCTGTACTCAACTCGAGCAAAGTCTAAGCTTAAGCTTCGAATTACATTCGATGTAGATTCGAGAAACCCGATCGAATTCATCATGCCCGATTCAGTTGTCAGCCGACACTAAACCCGCGAAACAACATTAAGCGAACAAGTGAATACCAACGCCAGGATGTTACGAGTCCATACAACATATGTTCACGAGCTCGTCTGTGAGGAAGCTCCTTTAGCGATGAATTTTGCTTGGTGCGCAGCGAGAAACGATGAGAGCGGGCACCTGCCCCTGACCGAGTACGGATCGAAAGGCCTTTGTGACAAGGTTCGCACGTCCCCTGATGATCTGGGAGCAGTATGGGAAATTCGGCAGGTTCAGCGGTTGATACTGAGGGCCACAACAGCGCAGTCCAGTACGTGCGCCGTCGCTGGCGGCACGTGGCCTGTATCAGGGTGGGACCGCGCCTCTCAGTACTCTGCATTACGGAAGAAACGAATGCGGTGCCAGTCTCGCTTCACGGCAGCCAGAATACCGTCCGCTGCCTTCTCCTCTGTCACCTTCTGGTTGTCAGCTATGATGGTCCTGAGCACGTTTTCGAGCTGCCGGAAACATAGTTGTGCGCAAGGTGACGAGTCACGTCTTGGACCGGTTTTGGCTGCAGCCTTTGGAGCCATGCGGTGTGGGCTGGCGCATGGTGCCACTGGCAAACTGCGCTGTTATGCTAACCCGCATGGCGCTGTTCAGCCGCCGCACGGATGTGGCCAGCTGGTTCAGCGCATCACTTGGGTCCCCAGTTCTGGCATACAGCGCAAGGGTCGTCATGGCCGGTGCCAGCCGGCGGCAGCGATCGTGATGTTTGTGTTCACGTGCTCGCTCGGTGTTGTTCCACGGTCTGAACGTCGACTGCATAACAACCGCGCTTCTAGAATCTACCCCGCAGCGTATTTCGCAGTTTAGATTAACATTCAGTCTGGACTGAGTACAGCCAGAGCTGAGCTACTCGCCGCACCGGATCGTTGTCTATGATGCTGATATTCGGCCAGAATGCACTGTAGTTTGGGATGATATGCCATCACTAATCGCTGAAGCGTATTGCGCGATATTACCTGGCACTCACATGATTGTCCCTGGGCCTCTAATATTGTTTTGATGAAAGATACATCAGTTGTTATCCGACAACAAGAAGCGAACTTAGTAGGACATCAGAAGGTCACGGCTACACCATTTAAGCTCGCTTCAGAAGCTCCGTGTTTTGCAGACAATTTTCGAGCCGCGGTTCTTCTGATCATGAAGTGGCTGTAAGACTAAGTTTCGTTTTGTAAACAAGTTAAGAGTGTAGCTAGGCGAGTTACAATATGGCCCTGTATCGGGCCAGAACTGGGGCGTAATGGCCGAGTGGTTGGCGCGTCAGAGTCAGAGGGGTCCCTTTTGGGGACCCGGGTCGAATCGCAGTTGCGCCATGTCCCCCTGTGCTCTGATGTGGCCAGTGCGCTCTTTGATGCTCCATAAAAGGGGCGTGATGACGTACGTCACGTTCCCCCCAAAAGAACCGTCATGCCTGGATGACCCCTTCGTGGCTATTTCCTGAATCGGTGAATAAATGAATGAATGAATGAACGAATCGGCCTGCAGTGCCGTGACTGTGGCCTGCTCCGTGGTGGCGGGTTTCGCCCGGTCTTGGGCACAAATTGTGGCGGCGTGCCATCGTAGGAGGCTGCAGCGGCAGACGCATGCGACACCGCCTCATTTAACGCTGAGCGCCCACATGACCCAGGCGCCCACCGGCTGCTGGGGCTTGCAGCGAAACAGGAAAATCAATCTATAGAATGTATACGTATGTGGAGATACTTGTCCGTTGTTTGGGCTACGTAGCAACTTTCTTTCAACTTGAAAGAAAAACGCTCACGCTTTTCGCTCTGTAATGCGCTCATCAGTATGTGCATCTCATCTGTATTCTTAAAGTAGCCGACGGTCGCTACAACTCGAGTCCAGTCCAAACGCCTTCAGCCCCAAGTAGCTGAGACCAGTATCGTTACCGTTTCCGGCGATCGCTCCGCTAGGATTTTGCGATGTCTGTCCCAGCACACCTCAAAAGTAGCCCCACCGTCGAGAGGCCTGAGCGGGCCTCGGCTGGCGCCTCTCCGACGATGCCCTGCCCACACCCACGCAGCGGCTCAGTGGACACGCGGCCTGTGCTCGCGCGGTGCGCACGGCGCTCAGGCGCGCGCGGGGGCGGCATGATGTGTGACGAGCGCCGCCGCCGCGTTCGCAGCGAGAAGAACCGGGCGCCGGCCTGGTGCGACCGCGTGCTCTGGAAGGGCGACCGCATCCGGCAGGTCAAGTACACCAGCCACCCGACGCTGACGCTCAGCGACCACAAGCCCGTGTCGGCGCTCTTCCAGGCCGGGGTGGGTGTCCACGCGCCGCGCCGCGCCGGCCGTTGTCGTTGGTGCGGATGTTGTGTGGCTGTGTTCGAGCCGATTGGGCGCTTTCGCCCCCGAGCAATGTTCGTGTGTTTGAGCTGACTAGATGCAGAAGTGTTCGCATTACTACGGTCTACCGTGGTGTCGCGGGCTTGACTGCAGTCTGAGATGATCCGCGGCGGCCAGTGGAAAGGCTTGAGGGCTTCTCGTGTGCATCTCCCTGAGAAAGGTTTGGCGCATATTCCTTGCCCGACGATATGCTGTCCAGGCCATGACTTTCTTGTGTTCTGTTTTCGACTCCCACGCGGCCACCAACTTTCTGTGAGCGATGTTCCAAAGCGATCTCAGTTGTCGCGTTGCGCTTGTCTCGAGCTCCCCACCGCCCGATGTTACTATTTGGCCCCTGCGCTGACCTGTGATCTGTCCCGGTCGCAGGTCAAGGTCATCGATCCGGTCAAGTACCGTAAGATCTATGAGGACATCATGAAGGAGCTGGACAAGTACGAGAACGACTCGCTGCCGCAGGTGTCGGTTGACACCACCGAGATCATCTTCGGCACGGTCCACTTCTTCGAGACCAAGACGCAGCGGCTGGTCATCACGAACACGGGCCAGGTGAGCGGCCGCCGCGCAGAGCGAGCTCACCGGCGGCGGGCTGGCGGGTGGTGTGTGCGTCTGGTTTGGGTACGCGAGCGGCCGATAAAGATAGTCGCGGCCGTGGGATGTAATATTCTGATGTCGTGTAATCACATTAAAGGTGTTATTGCCAGGTGTAGCTTTTTGAACACCGGAAACTTAGCTGCTGTGGTCCGTGTCAAGCTGTGGTCAAGCTGTGGTCCGACCTTCCGTTCATTCCTGTTTTAGAGCCCCTCCGGTCTGTTAGGACCTTTTTGGGGTTGCGGGATTACCGAATGAGGCGAGACGCACGTTAGTGCCGCAGTCGACCTTATGTGACCCTGACTCCGAGGTCTCGTGGATAAATCCACCCTGTCGAAGAGAGGGGTGTGGGGATTCAGAGCCTCCCGTGCTCGGCTGGAACGGACGCTGGCAGGGGTGCGGCTCTCTCTGTGCTGTGGTGGGTTGCAGTCAGAACTGGGCACGTGAGCGATCGGGGTGGGTAGTGGGAACGGCACGGGGTGTGGGTGCACAAGACTGCCCTGTCATGATGAGTAATGTCAGATCGTGCGTGCAAAAGCAAACAGTGTGTGCTTTTGAGGAAGGTGGCGGAAGGGCTGTACTTTGCCCGGCCGTGAACTACTTCCAGAATGAGGCACAAATGATAGTTTTCCTCCGCCTTGAGGGGTGTACGCTCCCGTTGTTGTGACATAGGACTCTGTGTGTCGGCCTGCGCTCGACAGAACTGCATTTACCAGCGCTCCTGGACGCTACACCCGCGATGGGGCTATTGATTGGTCGTCTGACCGCCAGGTGGCAGTGCAGTATCGCTTCATCAACAAATTGAACGACACCACATACTGCAAGCCCTGGCTGACGGTCGACCGGCAGACTGCTGTCATTATGCCTGGTTAGTGGCGGTCGCTGTCGGCATAACGCCAATTCCTGGCGTGTTTATGTGTAATTTGATGGCGTACTACACTGCAGCCATTGAGTGCTGTCACTTTGACTGCGTCACAGAGTAATTCGGGAATGGCTTATTGTCTGGTTGTCGTAATAAGTCCCGAGTGATTGCCGTGCCCGGCAGTCCGTCGCGTGAAATATCATTGTGACAAAACCTTTCAGAGCTTCTGTATTCTGAGAGCTGATGGTGGCTCTGCCCGTGACCTGGCAGGTGACGCTCGAGGTGACGCTCAAGCCTCGGAAAGCCCGTGTGTTGACCTGGCCTTGACCTCCGCAGGGGAGCGGTGTGAGGTGACGCTCGAGGTGCGCGTGGACGACCGGACGGCGGCCAAGCTCAACACGTGCCAGGACAAGCTGTACGACATCCTGGTGCTGCACCTGGAGAACGGCAAGGACATCTTCATCACCGTCCAGGGTGAGGCCGACGTCCGGGCCGGCGGCGGCCGCCAAAGCCGAGCCTGATTTTGTAGCCAACAGATGCCGCCACTGACGATACCAGAATCCGGCTTTTACATTTATTTATAAGATTTAGCCATTCGGAACGGCTATGAAAGTGTTGCTATATTTGACCTCTCACAACGTGTCACGTTTACTCGCCAAATGTATTTTGAGATAATTTCGAAACCAGTGTCGTCAATGTTGCACATGTGTTCACTCCAGTATGCTATATAAGGATTGAGCGCCGTGAGATATTTATTGAGGGGAAACATTTTTAGTTGTCTGCGATTTAAACATCGTTATGTGCGTGGAAAATAATTGTGGACATATTTTGAAAGCAAATTTTACGCCTTACTCACTACCGCACAACATGCAGTTTCTTGAGCCGCATCAATTGATGTGACTTCATTTTCGAGAAAAAACGCTCGGGCCGCTTTGCATTTGAATGGTAGCAGTGTAAGGGTTTCCCCACGCATCCTTCACTCGTCTGAGTGCCCGGGCACCTGTTAAGCTTTCGTCATATGTCTGTGCGCCGGAATCTGACTCGATCTGGGTGCATTTGATGGCAAACTTATGTCATGAACATGTCGCTGTGTGTATCCAGGCATTGTGATTCCTCTGCACATTACGCTACACACGCTACACATCACACCCCGCGTTCGGCCTGTGAGGTGGCGCCGCTGACTATCCCCGTGTGGTGCCGTCCGTTCGGCCCGTAGGGTGGCACCGCTGACTATCCCCGTGTGGTGCCGTCCGTTCGGCCCGTAGGGTGGCACCGCTGACTATCCCCGTGTGGTGCCGTCCGTTCGGCCCGTAGGGTGGTACCGCTGACTATCCCCGTGTGGTGCCGTCCGTTCGGCCCGTAGGGTGGCACCGCTGACTATCCCCGTGTGGTGCCGTCCGTTCGGCCCGTAGGGTGGCACCGCTGACTATCCCCGTGTGGTGCCGTCCGTTCGGCCCGTAGGGTGGCACCGCTGACTATCCCCGTGTAGTGCCGCTCGTTCGGCCCGTAGGGTGGCACCGCTGACTATCCCCGTGTGGTGCCGTCCGTTCGGCCGGCGGGGTGGCACCGCTGACTATCCCCGGGTGGTGCCGTCCGTTCGGCCGGCGGGGTGGCACCGCTGACTATCCCCGGGTGGTGCCGTCCGTTCGGCCCGTAGGGTGGCACCGCTGACTATCCCCGGGTGGTGCCGTCCGTTCGGCCCGTAGGGTGGCACCGCTGACTATCCCCGGGCGGTGCCGTCCGTTCGGCCCGTAGGGTGGCACCGCTGACTATCCCCGGGTGGTGCCGTCCGTTCGGCCCGTGGGGTGGCACTGCTGACTATCCCCGTGTGGTGCCGTCCGTTCGGCCCGTAGGGTGGCACCGCTGACTATCCCCGGACGGTGCCGTCCGCAGGCGACTACGTACGCAGCTGCTTCGGCGTGTCCATCAACGCGCTGGTGCACATCAAGACGCCGTTCGCCGAGGTGGCCATCTCCCGCCTGCTGGACCTGGTCAGTGCTGGCGGGCCGGCTGGGGTGGGGCCTTGGGTCGGGTCTGGCCTGGCCGGGTCGGGTCCGCACCGCGGGGCCGAGACTGGCGGCTGTCCTGCCCAGGCTTGGCCTGACGTTCGATGGATGATTTGGACTCTCTGCGGCCGTGTACGCGACACGGTCTGGTGAGACGCCTGTGTCGTTGATGGGGAGCTCGCAAGCGCATCTGGCAGGCAATATTTAACACGCTGTAACCAACAGCAACCAGTCATCTCGGGGGTCGCCGCCCATGATCACACGTGCGACCACCAGCGCCGTTATCCACAGCTGCTGTCCCTGGTCAGCCGTCAGTCGTCAGCCGTCAGTCCCCGTCCGGTCCCACCGGTCGCCCCGGCTGTCACACCATGCCCGTCTCGAGGTGGTCCAGCATCCGTACCACCCACCGCCCCCTGCGCGGCGCTCTCGCCAGCTGTCCACTGGCCGTCCGGCGTGTGCCGCCCCTCGAGCCCTCGAGCCCCCACGGCCAGCCTGAGCACCGACTGACCGGGCCCGCTCTGTTCGCAGGAGAGCCCCAGCCCCAAGGAGCTCACCCACAACCCGTACGTGATCCCCAAGGAGCTCTGGTTCATGGTGGATCAGCTGCAGAAGGAGGGCATCGGCAAGGACCTGTTCGCGCGCAGCGGCCTGCCGTCGGAGGTGCAGCTGATTCGGGAGGCGCTGGACACCACGCTGCCGGAGACGCTCCGTATCCTCACCGGCGGAGGCGCGCGCTGTCGGGGTGTGCACTTCTGGTCCGTCGCTTTCTCAGCTGTCTCGCCGCTTTGGTGTTGGTTTCGCCATTTCGTCCTGTTATCAGCCTTTGCTCTCACCACCACCCTTGGTTTTTTGGTGGCCCTCGTTGCTCTGCACTTCGTTGCGTCAGCGCTTTGGACGTGCTCTCTGACCACCCTCAGGTTTTTTGGTGTCTCTCGTTCCCCTCCACTTCGCTGCGTCATCGCTTTGGATGTGCTCTTTGCCCTCAGCATCCAGCGAGAGAAGGATTCATTAGTGTGCGGGCGTGGTGTTGTCACACGTTTAATGCGGTCGCCGGATTTAGTACAAATTTGGATGCAGCGCAAGCTGCCTCCGGCGCCGCTTCGCTCGCGTAGAGCCTCTGATGCCCTGTGCCCATGGTATCGGGTGCGCCTCGCCAGCTGTCGCTGTGGGCGCGGTGGGGCCTCAGCGGCGTTCATGCGCTCGCCGTGTGTGTGCTCTGGGAGGCGGCCGTCGGCGGCCGGGCCTCCTCCCGTGTGCCGACGAGATCTCCTTAACGGCGGTGCAGCGGGCAGCATCCACTCGGTGGCCGAGGCGCTGCTGCTCTTCCTGGCCAGCCTGCCCGAGCCGGTCATACCCAGCGACTACGTGGTGCAGTGCATGGAGAGCTCCGACAACTTCATCCAGTCCAAACACGTGAGTTGCCGCCGCGGCCCTACCGGCCGGCTCGCTGCGTCCGGCGCGGCGCTCCAGCTGCCGGAGCGGGCGCCAGACAGTGATCACGGCCCCCGCTGCATTAGTTCGCTGTGCTTGTCGCAGCAGTCCTGGCCACGGATGCCGAGGCGTTGTGCAACGCTGTCGTGTCGGTTTCGTCGCGTCACCTGTGACGATGTTGGTGCGCATGGCGCGCCGGCGCCTGGCGTCATCAGCGCACGTCCCTCGGCCGTGCGGGTGGCCCTGGCCAGCCCGCGTGGCCGACGACTGTGAGAACGGCGCGCGGCGGGCGCGCCGCCATCCCGCCCGTCTGACGGGCAGTGGCTCCGTCCTCATCCTCAGATCGTGTCGCAGCTGCCGCCTCACCACAAGAACGTGTTCACCTACATCTGCACGTTCCTACGCGAGGTGGTGACCAAGGCGCCCCGGGACGGCGGTTTGGAGGCCACCGCACTCGGTACGTTATCTCGGAGTCAGTACGTCATCCGGAACTCGGTACGTTGTCCCGGAGTCAGTACGTCATGCGGGAGTCGGTACGTCATCTCGGAGTCAGTACGTCATGCGGGAGTCGGTATATATCTAGGAGTCAGTTTGTCATATCGGAGTCGGTATGTCATCCGGGAGTCGGTGTGTCATCGAGGAGTCGGTATGTCATCTCGGAGTCCGTATGCTACCTGGCGTAGGAGTCAGTACGTCGTGTCGGGGGCCAGTATTTCATCTCGGAAGCAATACGTCCGTGCGTTATACGCAATACGCAATACGGAGTCGTGCGTTTTCAGGGTCAGTACTTCTCTCTCAGACTTCGTATACCGCTCCCATGGTCAGTATGCCCCTCTCACCCGGGCTGGTGCGTTCGTTTCTGTCAGTATGTCCTCAAAGTTTGTGCGATCCTCACGTCCCTCTGAAAGTTGCAAAGGTGAGAGGATGAACTTCACACCCGGCACATTGCTGGCCGGCGGCTGGCCCGCCGTCCGTAGTTCACCCGGTAGCGGCTAGGTGGCAGTGATGTTCGCTGCGTGCCGCACCGGCACGGGGCACCACCCGACCGCGTGCGTCGCTGACCGAGGCCCCTCCGGCAGCGAAAATCTTCGGCGGTGTGCTGATCAGGAGTCCCAGCGCCGCCTGGCTGCAGCGCAACAACATGTCCCTGCAGACGTTGGATCGGCGAAAGACCACCTTCGTCTACCACTTCTTAGTCAACGAGATCGACATCTGAGCGGCCGTCGGTCGTTTAGAAGGGCGTGTAGACTCAGGAGCCGGGAGCTCGCCGTCGGGGCGGGCCCGGTCGCTAGTACAACCTCGCCGGTCCGGCAGTGTAGCAGTTGCGCTGTTTTTTGTTGGTTGGGTCGGCGGGCGGGCGTTGAATACTCGGTCACTCCACTTCTGCATTCCACTCTGCCGCCCGGGCGTGCTTAGCTTAAACGGTGTTTTGTTCTTGACCCGGTTTTCCGTACTGCGGCTTGTTCCTTCAGTCCGACGTGTGAAGGGAAACTCGCTTGCCTGTTGTCTGGCACTGCTACTTTTCAGCGACCGTGCTGAAACGTTGGTTTGGTGGGCCGAGTGGTGTGCTGATGGCCGGTTCCGCCGTGCTTTGGCTGCCGTTGTCTGTGTTCGCTTCCTAACGTCGCTGCGTGTAACTAACCAGCTGGGGCCGTTCGGGAGGTGGCCCGCTCATGCCGGAGTCGCGCGGCGCGGTGGCGCGCTCCTGGCTCGCCCGTGCCCCGCGCCTGCCCGTCCTAGGCTGCACCCAGCGCGCGCAAAGCCAGAGCTTGGCGGCCGGCTGCTAACGCGCCCCGGAGGCCGTGAGCCCCGGCTCTGAGCGGCCGCGATTAGGGTTGGCGGTGGTCGGTCGGAGATGCTGTGAAGGCGGTGGATACGCTGTATTTTTGTACGGGCGGCCATGGTGAGACGGACCTGGCCGTCCGTCTGTGTCACAATCGACGCGGCGCGGCGGGGCGGTGCCGGTGAGCTGACCTCGGTCGGACGGAGCGAGCGGCGCCCAGACGGCCCCGCGGCGGTTGTCACACCGCGTGGGGCTCTGACGCGAGTCACGACCTCGGGGCCAGGCGCGGCCGTGTGTGGGGACTGCCGAGTGTCTCCAGACGGCCTGCTCTGTCCAGCCGCTCCGCGCTGGCAGAGCTGGGGCGCGGTGTGTGTGGATGGGCGGGGGGGGGGGGGGGCACTAATCTGAGCTTGTCGCAGAGCTTGGCCGCTGTTTACCGCCTTCCCATCGCTAGGCACCAACAGTCGCGTCGCCCGTATCGAACTCACTCACAGACCCACTCACAGACGACGGCGAGCGGCCTGAACGCACTCTCCCCGCGCGTCGTGAACCGTTCGCTGTTGGGGCGGCCCCCCGCCGCCTCCAGTCCGCGACGGGCAGGGCAGCTCGGTTCGCAGCTCGTTTCTCGTCACGCGTTACATTCTGCCCGGCGTCAGCCGCGTGCAGCGGTGACAAGTGTACGGATGCACAGGTTACAGTCACTCGGGCCACAGTGAGCAGCGTGCGCCCGCGCCACGCCGGGCTACAGCGGCGGCGTGTGAGCCTCGGGCCCATAATCCCGGTTGTTTTTCGCGCGTGATTTCACCCCGGCCGTGCTGCACCTTGCAGTTCGGATCTATCGGGTATGCCGGTTGATCTACACATGTTTTTTGCCGATTTGGCGTCACGACGAATGAGCAGCGCCGGGGGAAAATTTGCCAATTGTACCCGCCAACGACGTTTTATCGCCTGCCGGGACGCGTTGCCTGTATTGATCTAGTCCTTACGCTGATTGCTCTCGGTAGACGCGCCACTCGACAAGGCGTGTGCTCATCGCGGTCTGGTTGCATATATGGCTGGCTGGGGCGTCCTGCTGCACACTGCCGTTTTGTTATAGGTTCTGCCGTGTTGCTCTGTTCTGAACTGACCTGGTGTAACGTGTCGCCGCGTGGGACTCATATCAACGGTTTAGTGTTGTTTTAACCGGACCAGTCTTGGTGTTACGTTGTAGAGGCTGTCGAATGATCATGCCGGAATCAATAAACCGTGTTGTCGACGAGCAGATGCCTGCTCGCGTGAAATCTGGGACAAGCATACGTCTTACTGCAACGTAGCAAAGCCCTGAGCGAAGGACGGTACTTCCATCATTCACCAAGAGCGATGTCGGCGACTGTCAGTCCGCGCCGCGGGCATCTCGGCCCGATCAGGTCCCCGTGGTGTGCATCGAGCGCTCCGCTGTCTGGCTAGGATGTCCCGGCCGGCGCGCGCGGAGGGCTGGCGCGCCTGGTCTGTGGCAGGCTGACCGCCTCCGCGCAGCGAGCTCCATCCGTCTGCCTGAGCGCAGGTCAGCTCATCTTCGACCGGAGGGAAAGACGGGAGACGGCAACAAGAGACCTTTAGAAACAGTCAAATGAAAGACTATAAACTGGGATATTAGGATGTAACATCGGAATCACTGATCTGATGGCGGCGAACACCGGCGCCGGCGCCCCGGGCCGTCGCCGCCTACCATCCGACACGGGGTGGCAACTAAAGTCGGATCCACATCTCGACGGCCGGCCGCGTCGAAGAGGTATACAGCCCGTCTCACCCGCCGGGGAGTTAGTCTGATTGTGCTCACATGCCGACCGGCATCGGAAGCATTTCACCGTCTGGCCGGCGCCGGCGGTGCCCCGCGCAGCCGGAGCTGCTCGCGGCGCCCGTGCCGGCGCCGTGACTCGTGACCGGCGGCGCCGTGACGGCACGGACGTCATCGTCGGCGTGAGCAGGTCGCCCGACCCGCGCCGCCGGCGCACGCCCGGCTACCCCGGCTAACACAGACACACCGCCGCCCGCGCAGGGCCGCCCCGCGCCGGCCGGCGGCGGCGCGCGCCGACGCACGTGGCGCGCGCACCGGCCGCTCACGGGGCGGCGCCGGCCGACGCCGACTGGCGCGCGCAAGGCTACAGCACCCACAGCGACACCGAATGAGGCTGCTAACACCTGCTCGCTGCTTGTGTACTAAATTATTAAAAATCACCAACAATAACAAGAACAGTTAGCGACGAGGCTCGACGGCCGGGATGGGGGCGAGGCCGGCCTCCAGTCACTCGGCCCGGTCCAGGCTGATATTGATCGTTTTAACCTTGCCGCAGTCGCGCGGGATCTTCAGCAGCTGCTCCGGCGTCGCGTCGGGCATGATGAGACACATGAACGTGTTGCCCGTGCCCGTGTCCTTGGGGTAGATGGTGGTGGGCGAGAAGGGCACGTTCTTCTCCGAGTAGGCACACAGCCTGTTGTACACCTCCGGGTAGTCGCGACGTAAGCTGGCACCGCGCGCGCGCAGGTGGCGCAGGATGTTCAGGAAGTTGACCTCGCGCGCGCGCTCCGCCGCCATGTGCGGCAGCGAGTTTGGCAGCGAGATTAGGATCAGCGTCTCCAGCTCGTCGAGCTCACGCGTGATCTTGGGCGACGGCTTACGCTGCGGCGAGCGGCCGCCCAGCAGCGGGCTCAGTTTGAGTTTGGCGCAGCGCGGGATGATTTGGCGCTCCCACTTGGCCGCACCGCTCAGAGGCATCTCGTTAAACACGCAAATCACAATGTAGAGCACGAGGCGCGACTCGGGGTTGTACGCCTTGCACAGGTCGATGATCTCGCGGTAGACGAGGTGGCCCATCTCGCGCGGCAGCAGGTCCTGCCACTTGATGTAGAGCGCCTCGGAGGCGGTGCCGTTCTCCTTGGCCAGGAAGTCGTCGGCCGACTCGGGGCTGGGGAAGAACACCTTCAGCAGACCGCGCCCGTGAGTGAGGAAGCCCTGCCGCGCCGTGCGCGAGAACTCCAGCAGCAGGTTCTCGTCCTCCTTGATCTTCATGATGATCTGCTTGGACATGGTCTGCGCGCGAATGGCGGCGCACACGCGCCGGTGGCGGTCCCAGTGCGCGCGCCGGCAGTCGCGCGAGCAATAGAACGTCTCACAGTTGTGGCACATTTTGAACACGGTCTTCGCCTCGGTCAGGTTGGTCGTCCGCAGGCACATCGAGTTCTTGCACTTGATGGTGATGAACGAGTCGGGCTCGACGCCCTCGTCGCCCTCCTTGACGTCGTTCTCGACGGGCGTGGTGGTGGCGGCCGAGCGGTCCGTGTCGGCGTCGACGTCGGACACGTCGTCGGCGAGGGGCAGCCGGCGGCCGAGCTCCTCCAGCGTCACCTCGCGCTCGCCGGCCTCGCCCGGCTGCCAGTCGTCGTCTGACACATCGAAGCGCACCTTGTGGCCGTCGATCGAGTCGCTGAGCCGGCGCTCGGCCGTCGGCGAGCTGACCTGCGCCTGCAGCGAGTCGCCGCTCGAGGCGCAGTTGTCGGTGCTGCCGCTGTGCTTGTGCTCGGCGCTGCCCGAGTCGGCGCTGCCCTTGCTTCCGCCGTACAGCTCCTCCCAGTGCGGCTCCGGCTCGCTGTTAACCCAGGCCACGGTCGTGATGGCGTTGGGCCGCGGCTCGGGCGGCGAGGCCGGCGCCGGGCCGCTCCAGCCCCGTCCGGCCGCCGGCGGCGGTGCCGCGTTCGCCAGGTGCCCGTTCCGGCTGGGCGCCTCCTCTGTGGAGAGACGGCGGCGTTACAGGGGGCCGAGCGGTGGGACACTACACAGACCGCGTCAGGCTCGTCCAATACTGCACGGGCGGGAGGCGTGCGTGGCACCTCAAAACTCATCTATACAGGAGTGGCAGCCCGGGGCCATCCTCATGCCGAAACTAGGCGGCGCTCCCATCAAGCGCTTCCAGCGGAAGCCACGTGTGTAGTGCAGCACCCGATGAGCAAATTACAGGCACTATTATGCTAAGCTGTGCAGAGTGCATCAATGGCCAGGCTTTATGAATGGGAGCTATGCACCTACGCTGCTGAATCCTTCTAGCGGTGCCGGTCGATTTCACTTACCTCATGTCCAGCGGCGTCCTCCGAGCCAGACCCGTCCCTTCTGCCATTCTGCTGAAGCTCTACGACTGTGCCCCCAGAGGTCACACGTGATCTCCGGTCGGGGCCATGCTTCGACACTCCTCAGTGACAGCCACTGCGCATGCGTACACTACGCCGACGGCGCACGCCCCGCCTCATCGGACAGTGCGCCAGGCCGAGGCCGGTGAGGCCGGCGTTCGGGCTCGCGGTGCAGCGCCGGCGGCCGGGCACACCGATCGTGCACAGCGGCGTGCGGTGCCAAGGGAAATACGACGCTCGGCGACGGGCGTTTATTTTCGCGAGGTGGCTGGGGAGGAAGGGGCTGGAAGTACGCCATCATCGCTCGGTGCACGGTGAACGAACGGCATGCAATTAAGACAGGCATTATAGATCAACAGAAGATGACGGGTCGCATGCACAGTGGCAAATTTGTGGAACGTCGAAGAGTCGATCCTGGCCCAAAAACCGAAGTCTAACGATGGGCGCGAAATGACTGCCTTGGGCAGAAGCTGACGCAGCAGAAATCTGTGCATGCCCGTATCTTGATACACCACAGTGCACACATGGTTTTGTTACTTTGCTTAAAGCACCACATTCAGTACATTTACTAACACTTCTTATATGCGTGGTGCGTGCTTCATTGTGTACGGCTTACGTAAATCACAAAGAAAAGGCAAACAAGGACAGCAACATGACAAAAGCAATGCGATGCCAACAACAATCATCTCAGCGCATGCGTCCTGCAGCACCGCGCTTCTACACCAGTTCGCCTTGACAGCTTTGTTGGACAATCGGCGAGTCCCCCGCTTCCCGCCGTCGACAATCACCTGCCCTGCCTCACTGGTGCCTGATCACCGCTTCACCGCTGACCGCTGATCACCGCGTCACCGCTGACCGCTGATCACCGCGTCAGCGGTCAGCGCCATCTGCTGCGGCGTCCCAGCGCGCCGTGCCGCCTCCTCCGCCGGCGGCGGGCCGCGTTCAGGACGCGCGCGCCACGCCCGACTCACCGGGCGCCGACGGCGAGCAGTCGTAGTACCGCGTGCCCACCAGCGACGTCTCGTAGAGCACACGCGAGGGTGAGGCGCCCCGCCGCGATCCCTTGCTGCTGGTGGAGCTGCTGCGCCGCGGGGCCCCGGTCGCGCCGCCCGGCAACGCCAGCAGCGAGTCCAGCACGTCCTCCACAGTGACGGACGAGCCGCGCCGCGCCGCCGGCGCCGGCCGCCCGCCCCCTGCCGATCGAGCGCGCTTAGAGGGCACCACCGACGCCGCTGGCGCGCCGACTCCCGAGCATAGGGAAGAGGCGACGGCATCGTGCGTGGAAATGTGCCCTGTTTTTGCACGCGCTGGCGTTACACCCGCGTGGATGGCCGTAGTTATAGGCTGAGCAGGCTACATTCTCCTCGCTATCGTACACAATATGATTGGCGATAGAATTATAGTGTACGGTAACGGTGGAACGATCGCTTTTCTCATGGGCCGAAATACACCGGACCACAACTCGAGTTGTGGAATAAAACATCGCTTAGCCTGCATTCAGTTTGAAAACTACATGAAGTACGTGTAGCATGAAAAATCGTTACTATACATTCTGAGGCGTCATGGACGTAGATGCAAATAAACATTCGAGGCAAGCAAAATGAACGTGTAAGTTGCTGAGCCACCATTACGCTCTTTGTCAGGCGTGCAGTGGCTATGCGAGCGCGCCTAGACATGTAGCCTCTCGCCAACTGGAGCATCCAGTATGTTGACCAGATGGCAAGAGAGAATGAGGATGCGTAACGAGGCTGTAGCACAGCCCACAGCTCTACCGCGCAAAGGTAGCATGAACAGCCTGCAATGACTCGACCCGCATCTCGAATTGCAACTATTTTGACTGCCAAGTTCACCAGCGCTCCAACTTACAACGAAGGAGCGGAAAGGCTGGGCAAACTATGATTTCGAAACCTCTTGGCGCAACGTGACGCACCATGACACGTCTCTCCACATGTTAGCCATGAGGCCAGAAACTCGAAAACATGTACCCGCACGGGTAGAACACAGCCCATTTTTGCTAGACATGCTCTCCCAGAGCAAAACATGTCCATCTGATTTGTGTGGGGAAGTGCTTTGTGGGACAATGCACGGCGAAGTAAGTGAGCTGAAACCCCGAACGGTAGCCCCGCACTCATGTACCCGCGGATAAGATGCAGTAAAGTGCCATGGCATCCCGCCATCATCACATGGCCTGAAGGATACTAACATACTTTTCGATACCTTAGATCCCCACTTCTCCGTTCGACTGTCGGACATGTCGGTTATCAGCCGTTGTCTGATCCGATGCCATCTATTCGGCGGTGAGAACCGTTTCCAAAGGCTTTCGGCAATCCATATCTATCACGACATCAGTGGACTCGAGTTTCGGCACGGTACGCGGGGTTAGTCGCCGCGAAAACTGAATTGAAAGCGTCACGAGTTATCGATATCGATCCACGCTGCAGATCGATTAACATCTTTCACGTACACGGGCTGCTTCTAATCCATTATTAGCTGGACTCCTGGGGTTAGGCCGATAAGAAATATTACGCGTTGCACGTTTCTCTAAAAAGCACTGCATGCAAAAAATGTCAGCCGATCCCATTATCAGTCCAACGCGAAGTAGGGCAAACAGGGACGTGTTCACAGCAGCATTCACTGCAGAACAGGAATGCCCAGTCACCAGTGAGATTCTTACCTTGCTCACTAAGCCTGCTCGACACGAGCATCAACACGAGACGAAGGTGCTGTCAAAAAGGAAACACACCGCAATAAAGATACCAAGTCGAACCAAAGACCATTCAACTACCCAAATCGTAAATAAAAACCAAGCAAAATTCGGTGCTGCTCTCTAATAGTTTATTAAGTAGATAAATAATCAAATATACAACATAAAAGTGACTCGGACAAAATATAGCAAACACTGCAAGCAAACACAACAAAATAGATCATTGTGGAAGCCATCCGTTATTTCCGCCCAGCATTCTTATCGAACGCACGTATCCTACGCGCTTAACTCTTCATATGATGACTTCCCTATTTAAACTGTACTGAGGAGTGCATCAGGACCACTACATCCGAGTAAGATGAAACAGGAGCAAGATTTCTCAGCAACCACGCTGAAGAATAACATCTTTCTCAAACGGAACATACTCGAGACGTAGCGTTCTCATATCCCCACAAAGAAGCCAGAGCATGGAATCGAATGTCCGGCGCCAAATCGCCGTGGCGAAGCGCTTCATATCGAGTGGAGACCAACGTCTCATTGAGCATAAAAGCTGACCAACAACGACACAACGGTGCATCGCATGCCAAACGGAGAAGCACATCCAGTGAAAAGGGAACAAACAGACAGCGGATGCTACGAAACCGCGGCAAGCGCAAACGCAAAAAAGCAGGACAAAACAAAAACCCCTCTCAATCGACAACTAAGACACATGCCCCAGCTCAGCGCGACTCAAAAACAGTATTTACAGAGAACACCAAGCGCGGGTCGACGGCCGGTGGACATCACTCGGCCCAGCTCAGGAGCCCCGACTAGAGCCCAAGCCCGGCAGCGGCGCGTGCGTCACACCATCAGCAACTCACCGAGCTCGTAATGGTCGCCCTTGGCATCGGAGCGGGGCGGCGGGGCGCTGGAGGGCGGCGGCGGCGGGGCGTCGGCCGGCGCCGGCGAGCCGCCACCGCCCGCCAGCGTGTCGGTCAGCACGGCGCCGGCCGCCTCCGGCGTCGTCGGCTCGTCCGTCGGCTTGGTGCCGACGAACGCCGTCTCCAGCCAGACGGGCCGCGCCCTGGACGGCGAGCCGGACCGCGAGCCGCGCGCGCCGGCCGGCGAGCGGTGCCGCGGCCGCGGCGAGCCAGAGCGGCCCATGTCACTCACACTGCCGCCGTTGGACGACGCCGTCGAGTCAAAGTAATGCACTATGGCGCTGGTCACCTCCTTGATCGAGCTGTGCACGTCCAGGTCGGGCTGCTGGCGCGGCGGCCCGACCGAGCCGCTGCTGCCGGCGCTGCGGTCGCGCGGTAGGCTCAGCCGCGCGCCGCTCAGGTTGCCCTCACTGCGGTTGCGTCCGAAGCTGCTGGCCAGCCGGTCGACCGGCGTCTGGTAGCCCTGGCTGAGCCGCTCCTGGCTGCGCCAGCCCAGGTAGGCGGGCCGGTGTCCGAGGCTGCGGCCGGTGCCGCCCAGGCTGCCGCCGGCGCTGCCGACGGGGCTCTGCGTGCCGCTGCTGGTCTGCGAGACGCGCGCCGAGCCGGCCCGGTACGCGCCGCCGTAGTAGAGGCCGCTGCGGTCGCTGGGCGCTGGCGAGGCGGCGCCGGAGCCCGGACTGGTGAGGCTCTCCCGCGAGGTGGCGCGCACGTAGCGCCAGTCGGGCGGCCGCACGCGCGTCGGGATCACCACCTTGGACTGGGCGGTGGGCGTGGTGCACCGGCTCGACTGCAGGCTCTCCTTCGACGTCGACTTGGAGTTGAAGCCGGACCAGCCGCCTGCGGGCAGGGGGAGGGGTGGGCGTGAGAGCGGGGCCCAGCATGTGGCGTGCCGCCGGCTAATGTCATCACGGGTGCAGGTGGCGTGTGGTTGACAAACCAGCGGCGAGAGAAGTGGGTCGCGGGAGAGTCGTACGTCGCCTCCAGGCCCAGCCCACACTAGCCACCAGCCTTAATCGTCCAATCAGAATGGCCAAATCAAAACAGTAGCCACGTCCATTAAATCGATGAAAAATGGATGGTTCTTAGCTAATACATCAAATAGCGAACCTAGGGGCTTTCAAGACGGCGAGCCTGACTCACAACCACGAAGGCTTGTAAAACAAGAGAGATTTGAAGCAGAAGTGCAAAGCATGCATGCTCGATGCACAGACCCGCCGGTAACTTCTGGAAGGCGAGGCGGCGTTGCCACACTAACCACCTCCTGCCACCAAGTTTCCTGTCCAAAATTGCAGCCGGAATGGTGTCATGAAAGCTTTACGCGCGTCGTAAAGACCAGCCTGCCGCCTGGGCGCCGGCTGGACGGTCCCAGACACGACACAGCCACGGCGCAAAAATACGGAGCCGTGCAGACGGGCCAGGTCTGGGGCGTGGAGGACTTGTAACGGCACAGTGGCATGTGGGCCTTGCAACTGTTCGCTGGCATGTCCGGCCCCGAAACACCAAGGGCTCACACGCAGAGCTCAGAGCACAGAGCTCGAGACTATGGGTCTGGTGTCTGGCAGACAGCGGTCATGAACAGAAGAGGGAGCGGTGCAGTGGCCCCTGGCGTCGCCTGACTGTGCGTCATGCAGCGTCCTGGCTAAAGTTGCAAGCAGGAGCGAGCTGCTGCCCACCCACACTGCGATGGCTCGTCTTCAGCTCGCTCGCGGCGCCCGATGCGTGAGTCCGACGGCGGCGCATCAAAACACGGGCGCCACATCAATGGGCCTGAGCTGGCGCCCTCTCACGGGCACATCACGTGTCGGCACCAGGTGATTCAGCCCGCCCGGCCATGTTGACACTTGGGCTCGCGGCCCCGGCTAGGGATGCCGGGGCGGTGGCAAATCAAACACGATAGTCTGCGAGCCGTCCGGCAGGCCGCAGTGCGTCAGGCGCCGCCGTGCTCGTCAGCCTAATCGGACCCAGATGAAGCGGCCGAGCCGGTTTTTATAGCCGCCCGCGGTCCAGATGCGGCTGGGGTCAGCCCCGTACCGGCGCTGCGGCCGGTATTTGGCGCTGCGCCATGAGCGGTGGCGTCAATAGCGGGACTTGAGCGAGCGCGGCCGCCGCCGGCGCCGGCCGCTCAGACATCTGGGCAGCCCCATGTGGGTGCGCCGCGTGGCGGTCGATTTACCAGGCGTGGAGTTTCCTATTCAGCTGCCGAGTAGGCTCCAGTCGCCCCCACCCTCCATCCCCTCCACGCGCCCCACTTTGAGAAGAAAGTGGGTCAAATTTGAGAAGCCCGTTTTTCGCGCATTTCGGGGGAAGATCGCATAATTTTCGGTGATCAGCCTCCCTCAGGCCAACACCCAGTTTAAGGAACTACGCCTATGGGACTACGCCTGAGGAACTACGCCTACGCCTATGGGTTCACAAGTTGGACAGATCTTTAATGGAAGGATATTACAAATATATTCAGACAAGAGTCGCGGCCGCATTAGCATAAAATGCGCACGATTAATGTTACAGCTATTTAGCAACCCAACGAGAACGCAAAGAAACCCGCACTTAAGTACTGCAGAGCCAGCAGATGCAAACACAGGTTAAGGAGTCGAGACGAGAAATTCCAAGGAATCTTGACGCATCCAGACCCTAAAGAACATTGCCACCTATGGCACCCAGGGGTTATGAATACTCAATAGCCACAGCCATCTACATGCATCACATCTAAAAGGCACATTCCAGTCGGAAACAAAACGTTGCAAATGGTCATCAGCACAGTCAAATCGCCCGACTAATCCAATAGAAATAAAAATAATATTTACGTATCCACTCAATCAACCACAAGTCACAGAATAACTAGAAGGGCACGATAACCTACACTTGCCCTTCCACCAGCACACACAGTCATTCGGGCTAAAAAGCAGTGGTCGACACACACCTGCCAGCGAGCCGAGCCATAGTCCCGTCGCAACGACGTGTCCGGCTTGCTGGACTTCTTGTACCACTCGGGCGTGTTGAGGTTGCGCAGCGACCGCTGGAAGCGCAGCTCGTGCTCACTCAGCTGGCGGTCCCCCGCGCATCAGCTGATTCTCCGGCGGCTGAAAACAGGGCGGGGCGTGCTGAGGCGGCGCCCAGACGAGCTGAGACCAGACGGGCGCTGGACGGGGGAGCTGGCGCCGGGCGTCACCGCTCTCCGCCGCCGCCGAACGAGCTGAGACCAGACGGACATCGGACGGGAGCTGGCGTCGGGCCGCGGTGGGGGGCACGAGGTCACCGCTCTCCGCCCCCGCAGAACGAGCTGAGACCAGACGGGACACTGGACAGGAAACTGGCCGCCGGGCGCGAAGTCACCGCTCTCCGCCGCCGCGGAACGAGCTGAGACCAGACGGACACTGGACAGGGAGCTGGTACCGGGCGGCGAGGGAGCCACGAGGTCACCGCTCTCCGCCGGCGGCAGAACGAGCTGAGACCAGACGGCCGCTGGGACAGGGAGCTGGCGCCGTGCGAGCGTGAGCATGGGGTCACCGCTCTCCGCCGCCGCGGAACGAGCTGAGACCCAGACGGACATTGGACAAGGAGGCTGGCGCCGGGCGCGAGGTCAACCGCTCTCCGCAACCGCAGTACGAGGTGAGACCAGACGAACACTGGACAGCGAGCTGCCGCCGGGCACGAGGTCACCGCTCTCCGCAACCACAGAACGAGCTGAGACCAGACGAACCCTGGACAGGAGCTGGCGCCGGGCGCGAGGTCACCGCTCTCCGCGCCTCACGAGGAGCCAGCGGACAGATGGCGATTGATGTCCCCCGTCTTGGATTGCGTGTCGTGGAAGTCAGGACAATTTGGGATGACGTCATCTCCCCTTCCCGACGGCAGTCTAGTTTGCTATTGGGCTTTCGGGCTCTTCGATTGCTCGGTCCTGTTACGTCCATAACAAATATTAAAAGCAACGGTGTTCTAGAAATTTCGAAATGAGCTATAACGCGACGCGAATTGTTCAGGTCGGGCGTATGTACAGGACAGAAGAGAACATGCCCACGGAGTTTGAAGAGGTGCTCAATATGGTGAGTCGTTTGCCTGCGTCTGAGGCAGATTGACGGGCCCCGCTCTGAGTCAAAACCGGCACAGTGTCAGCTGCTGCCAGCTCTGGCCTAGTCGGCGGCTCGACGATTGAAAATACGATACGTACAACCGCATATGCACAACCGCAAACACAACTTTTTTAAACGCAGCCCCATCGCCAAAAAATCGGGAGCAATGTTGTGCTTCCACCTTCCTCATCCCGCCTCCACTGAATATGTTGCGCATTCTTTCGTAGATGAAATGAATATTTCTCTATTCAATCCAAAGCACGAGCATCAGTCATTTAGCACACTAATGACGACGACCCCAGCATCCAACGAGTCAAAGGCTCGACTCCCGCCTCTCCCGCTCCAGCCAGCAACCCGGTGGCCCGAGCCCCCGCAGCGGCCTCCCCGGGCTCTGCTCACCCGTGCCCGCTGTTAAGGCTGGAGGCCGGCGGCTCCCCATTGGCCGAGCGAGGCCGCGCAGGCACCGGATAGGCGGCCGGTCTGCCCGGAACTGGGTCAGAGGGGACGGCGGGCGACGTCGGCGCCGGCCCGAGCCCGGCCCGACCCGGGCCTGCTCGCGACACGACACCGGCCGCCGGCGCTCCGACAAAAACGGCACCCAGCCGCCGACAAAACACGGCTCACGACGGCGGGCACGACTGTCATCGATTCAGGACGCGTCCCGGGATCGATGGCTGGAGCGTGCCTGTTGGTGTGTGGTGCGTGCCCGCTTGCCGGCACCGGCGGATGCGTGCCACGGCGCGGGCGTGCGCATGCACCCCCGGAGTATGTGCACGATGCATACGTGTGCACGGCGACTGCTCTTGCGTGCGTGCGGGCGTGCGTGCGTGTGAATGCATTTACGGGCAGGCGTGACCACAAACAAGCGCCTTGATTGCCGCCTTTCTGAGTGCATACATGGCTGCGGTATTGTTCGTGCGTTGGACGCTGCCGTTTTGCGGGCGAGCGTGTCTCGCGTGAGAGCCGGCCGGGGTGCGGTGGGTTCGAGCCTGCATTCACGCGCGCGTGTGACCACAGGACGGACCAGCGGCGGCGGCAGGCGGCCCCGGCGCCGGCGCGCCGTGCGTACCGGGTTAGCGTTGGCGTCCCAGACGTGCGCCGTGGCGGCGGTTGCGCGCGCCAGGCTCCGGCGCCGGCGCCGCCAGAGCGCGGACATAGCGGCCGGCCAGAGCGGTCGGACACGTGTCCGCCCCCAGACACGCTGCGCCCCGGCGTCGGACACGGCGGCGGGAGTTGGCCGGCGCCGGCGGCGTCGGCGCCCTCGTCAGCACCCCGGCGTTGTCCGCGACGAGCTCGGGCGCGGACCGCTCCGGCGGCACGCAGGACCAGTTCCGCTGCGTGCTGCGGCCGCCAGAGGGACGAGACCTCAATGGCCGAGTGGCTCCGCCGCACCCCGTCCCAGGCCCGGACGACGTCGCGCTCACGTGGATGCCGCGCGCCTATCGCCGTCCGCGCGTCGCAGCACCAGCGGCGCGGCGCTAAAACGAGGGCAAACTCGGCGCGCCGATACGGCCGCAGCGACGGCGCGCCGCTCCGCGCGACCCCCACAAGTGCACGGGCAGGCGGGCGGCCGGCGGCCGTGGCCGCGCGCCTGTTCACCACCTGTCCCGCCGGCGAGCACCACAGCTGGGCGGCGCGGCGTCGCAAGCACGGCTGCTGGCGCGCGCGCTCCGCCGGCTCGCAGGGCCGCCACTGGCGCCGGCAGCGTCGCGCCGTCGACTCCGACACCATGGCGACGCCGCGTCGCTGGGCGCGGTGGGACGTGCCCGGCGGCGGCCGGCTGATGGACGCCGAACACGCGGCGGCGCCGGCGCTGCCGCCGCGGCGAGGTGGCCGGCGCCGTCACGGGAGCCGGAAGTCGTGGGTGACGGCGGCCCGTCGGTCGATGCCGGCCGGTTGTTACGCGGGACGGCGGGCCCATACTGTTGCATGACAGGCCATATTTCGGTGCCTCACGGCCGGCTGATCGCTTCGGCTCGGCGTAGGAGTAAGTATGTCATTAGTCGCAGCGTGCGTCCGTCAAATGTTCGCAACGAAAGCCGGCATTTAAAATGCGCGAGCGAAACCAGCTAAATGTTAGGTCGACTCGACAGCTAGATTGTTTTGAAAGAGTGAACGCTTTCGGCATGATCAATATGAGCGCCGAAATAGCACGCAGACTTCTCGAGTGGAACGTCATTTGTCAACGACGGTATCGACATCAAACGGCAAGAATTCACAGCATCGTACCGTCGTGACCCGACAAATGAATACCAATCGACGGCCTGAGGCGACTGGCACTTGGCAGCACGGTCCCGACAGCCGGCGACAAAAACGCCGCACCAGACACCGAGCAAAAACCGGCTCGTGGCCCGCGAGCTGCCGGAATACGGCCAGCCGCGGCGGGTACGAACCTTGCGCACCCTCCAGTTCCCGGCCAGCCAGAGCACGTTCGGCAGGGAGGCGCTCCAGAAGATCATGGGCGTGGGGGAGGGGGTCGCAAGACCTGCTGCCAGCCGGCTCACCAGTGCCCCTCCCAGCGCGGCGGCGGGCGGGCGACTCACCTGAAGCGCCGCCGGTCGGCCGGACCCCAGCTGCGTCGCGCTCATTACCGGCCACCTGGCGCCGCTGACCTCCGGTCACGCGTGCGCCGCTTCGGCCGCGGACTCGCGCTGCGGACTGGCGCCGCCGTTGCCGCCGCGGGCGGACAGCGGCAGGCCGGCGGGCGCGCGGACGCTATCAGGCGTCCACCGATAGCGGATCAGGCACCGGCGGGTCAGGGTCTGACCTGATACAGCGGCCGTCACGGTCGGCCGCCCGCTGAGCAACAGCTATGCCCCTGTCGGGATAACGTGACGGGTCCCGACGGGCGCCGCCTGGTCTGATGGCGGCCTGGCACCATGAGACGGCCTGTACGGCCACGTCATGACGATGGCCGGTCTAGACGATTTCCGTCTGCTGACGGCTGGCGAAGCCAATCCCGGCCATTGATGACGGCTGACGATCGCAACGCCACCCGATAGTGACAGACCGACCGAACCGCCGGTCGGTGTCGACCGCGGCGGCGCGCTGCGACTGCGACGCCCGGCAGCGGGCTCACGAACGGGACGCCCCGCGGCGGCGGTGGCGGCGGCACCGCCCAGAAACGGCGGCCCCGACGGGGACGCCCGTGACGCCGCGTGACGTGACGCCGCATGACTGATGACGCGACGGGGCCCCCGCCGCGACGGCGCGCACAGCCGAGTCAGAGCGGAGGCTGCTCGACGCCGGTGTCGGCTGACCGTCCCGCCGGTGCACACCATCACGTGTTGACGAGAGGCACACAGGGGCACGTCGCCCGCGTGAGTGACACACGATTGCCGTGCGCGCAAATATCGCGGACATGATATCACCTATCGTGTATAATCAACGCACGAGTGGTGTCGAGAATGTCCTGCGTGCGCCTGTCGTTCGTTCGCCGAGCGGACGGAGGAGAAACCAGTCCAACCGAGCGTCCGCGTGGACGCGGCCAGTCCGCTCGGATCATCTTACGGACGCGCCACAGACCGGAAAAAGACAACCGCTGCGATGACTAGACCTTCAGGCGGCGCGGTGACATAAACAGCCGCTCTCTATTTCCAGGGCGTCCGAACCGAGGTGGCTTCCCCGCCGGAGGCCTCAGTCGACGCCGCCGCCGCTCGGCTGCCGCCGCCGCCCCGGCGTAACCCAATCGGGCGGCGGCGGCCCGCCCGCGGCGGCCCGGCGTGAGTCAGGCGGGGCCGCTGCCAGCGGCGGGGGCGGCTCGGCGGGGCGGGCCGGCGGCGCGGGCAGACACGCCCCGGTCGCCGACCCGGCACCGCCGGCCACCACCTGGCGCGTCCAGAACAGATGAGAAGAGAAGCGCGAGCGAAGGCGGCGGCGGACGGGACCGGCGCGCACGCCTAACGTGGGGGCTGTGCCGAGCCCAGCCCCAGACCCCACCAGCCCAAACACCTGCGTCGGTGTTTGGGCCGAATAAGATGCGACAGCTACATATCATCCCGCATTACTTG